GGGGGGGGGGATAAAGGAACTGGGTGTTTTCAGGACGGAGGGGGCTTGGAGGGGCGATGGGCAGGGCTGGGTCCTGGCACACCTCCTCCCTGCAGTGCCGAGGAGGAGGAATCCAGCGAGCAAACAGCCCGCGTTGCCTTTCCACAGGCGCCCGGGAAAATCTGAGCGGCTCACATCCTCCCCTTTGTCTGCCCCTTAATTAAGGGGGGGTAATTGTACTAATTGGGGAGCTGAGGGCGGGGGGGATGGGCGAGGAAGAAGCTGTGCCAATCAGAAATATGCTGGCATGTGGAGACACGTGCATTTTGTCACGTGCGAGTCTGGGATTCGCAGCCAGTCCTGTGTGTCTGTCTAAGAGGGGTCTGTGACTGTCGGTCTCTTTTGTTGGGGAAGTGGGTCACAGCACCCCTGCCCCCAGCACCCCCTGGCACCTGCCTTTCCAGGCACGGGGAGGCAGAGTTGGGGATGCGAGAGCCTTCTCTCCATCCTCTCCTTTCCCCCAGGATGGAGGCAGTGGCCCCGCTCTAAGCGGCTCCGCTGGCTGGAGGTTGGGGAGAGGCCTCTGCCCCACGTGTCCTCTCAAACAGCAACTCCAAGGGCTCTTTCCTGCTTCTTACGTTGGTATTTTTTATGATGTGATGCTCCAGGTGGAGCATCCCCTGCCGCGCGGCAGCCCCGGAGAGGGATGGCATCTCTTGGGTGCTCCCTTGCTGCCGAGCCGTGGGTGCTGCAGGGTGGTTCCTGCCTGAGCCCTGGGTGTCTGAGGGTGCTGGGCAGGAGCAGGCAGCAGAGTGGGTTTGTACAGGACAGGAGGGTGCATGGGCATTGCTGGGGGGGACGGTGCCGGTGTGTGCCGTGGGCTGCTCGGAGCACGTGTGGCAGGAGCGGCTCTGGGGAGCTCGGCAGTGGTTGGAAGCTGGGGTGCAGCTCCGGTCCGGCCGGGTTGAGCTTGGCTGGGCTGAGCTTGGCTGGGCTGGGCTGCACGTGTGCCCAAGCAAAACCTCGTGCCCCTGTGAAGTGGGCTTGGCAAACGGCCGTGCCACCCCCTCTGCCTGGATCTCCAGTCTGCCCAAACTGTGCCACACCGCAGCACTCTCCTGCAGGTCCGTTCCCATGTCTGTTGGCTGGGGGGGGTCCCCTTTGTCCCACAGTGAGCCCGAGTTTCCTCCTGCCCTTCCTGGCAGCTGCCAGATCTTGGACAAATTCACAGAAACTGGACATGCCTGGTGGAGCCTTTTCTGTGCCGCTTCCTTGCAGATCTCCGACATCTACATCAGCGGGGAGTCGGGGGATATGTCAGCCAAGGAGAAGCTGCTTCTGTGGACACAGAAGGTGACGGCGGGTTACATTGGGGTGAAGTGCACCAACTTCTCCTCATGCTGGAGCGACGGGAAGATGTTCAACGCGCTCATCCACAGATACAGGTAGGCAGGGTGGAGCAGCGGGGAGCATCTGGGTGGGAGGAAGGGCTGGGGATGTCTCGGGGGTCCCTGCCCACCGCCATGGTTGGTGATGGTCTGGAGTGCTTGGAGGTGTGGGTGAGGCTTTGCAGGGAGCAGGGTCTCTTTTACCTGGAAATCATCTCTTCTCCCAGATAGCTGGGGGGTGAATGCTTGGAAAGAGCAACAAATAGAAGAAAAAAACATTTTTGAATGAGGCTGGGGAGAGAGGCAAAAAAGAAAAGCTTTTAAACTGAGAGTGCTGCAGTGTTTTACGTGTTTGTGCTGCCCTTTCTGCTCTCTGAATAGCAGCACTTTCATCCACGGATCTCAGAGCTCTCCGGAGCGGCAGTGAAACCTCTCACTGTTCCTAGAGAGAGCACAGCTCCACGTGCCTCCCGCCTGCTCAGCGCAGGCAGCGAGTCAGAGCTGGGGCCAACAGGGCCGGCTTCTGCCCTGGCTACTTGGTCAAGAGCACTTGGCACAGCCTTGAGAGCCTGCAAAGGCCCCGTGAGAAAGCATCTGGAAAATAACCCTCCCTTCCTGCGCTGCCCGGGGCTCGCTCGTGGCTGGGAGGAGCGGGCAGGGTTCAGCAGGGAAGGACACACCAGGCTCCTGCAGGCAGGAGATGCTCGGCCCCGGCTGCCTCGCACTGTTTGCCAGTGCCGTGACTCTGGTGCGTGTCTTGCAGGCCAGATCTGGTGGACATGGAGAGGGTGCAGATCCAGAGTAACCGGGAGAACCTGGAGCAAGCCTTTGAGATCGCCGAGCGGCTGGGAGTCACGCGGCTGCTGGATGCCGAAGGTGGGCGGCCGGGGGACGCGGCTGGTGCAGGGAGATGCTGACCTCTCTGCCTGCTCCCCTTCCTCACTGCCTTTCTGCTTCCCCCTTGTCAGACGTGGACGTCCCCTCTCCGGATGAGAAATCCGTGATAACTTATGTGTCTTCAATCTACGATGCCTTTCCCAAAGTCCCTGAGGGAGGAGAAGGGATCAGCGCTATCGTAAGCATCCCTGCGGGCTGGGAGGCTGGGACGGCGGTTTGGGAGGCAGCTGGTTGTTGTGGGAAGGGTTTGGAGGTTCCTTGTCCACCGCAGCAGATGGCTGATGGGTGAAAGAGGCTCAGGGGGAGGAAGGAGCTTCTCCATTAGCGTGTTCGCCCTGTGAACTGCCGGTGTGCCGCAGCGTTCTGCAGGTTCTGCCGTGGGTTTTGAGCTCAGGAAAGCTGAGCTGGCTTCCAGGGGAGCAGTTTGCAAGGGGGATCCTCCTCCTCCTCCTCCTTCCTGTACCTGGGGTGGCATCACAGCAGGGAGGGACAGGCAAAGGATCCCCTCTGTAGCTGTGACCTCGGTTCCCTGTGGGCTCTTCTCGGCCAAGCCAGGCTCTGCCTCTCCCCCGCGGAGACCTGCCCTTCAGCAGTGCCCTGCAAGGGTTCTCTCGCCCCACAGGAGGTGGATTCGAGGTGGCTGGAGTACCAGAGCTGCGTGGAGTCCCTCATCTCCTGGATCAAGCAGCACACGATACTCATGTCAGATAAATCCTTCCCCCAGAACCCTGTAGAGCTAAAGGTAGGTCCTGGACAAGGTCCATCCGCAGTGTCCTGTGCACTCGGTGCTGAGAGCTGGGTGGGGGCATCCCCAGGGTGGTTTCTGATGAGCTTTTCTCATCCCAGGCACTTTATAACCAGTACATACACTTCAAAGAAACTGAAATCCCGGCAAAAGAGCAGGAAAAAGGAAGGATAGAGGAGCTCTACAAACTGTTAGAGGCAAGTATCATCATGGCTACCTGGAGGCTTGTAGGTGGGAGCGTTGTGCTTTTAGCAAGACTGAAATGTGCTCAGTTCAGGTTTATTTTGGAATGGAGAAGTGGAAATAACCCTCAGGGTGAATGATGGAGAAGTGACAGGCTGCAGGAGCGGAGGCAGAGCTGCCGCCTTGTAGCCCCACTTTCCTTGCTTTAATCTCTCTCCAGCCAGCTGGGGGAGGAGGTAGGGAATGCCATTCTGTTGATGTTTTTCCCAGGTCTGGATTGAATTTGGACGCATCAAGTTGCCCCAGGGCTACCACCCCAACGACGTGGAGGAGGAGTGGGGCAAGCTCATCATAGAGATGCTGGAGCGCGAGAAGCTCCTGCGGCCGGCGGTGGAGAGGTCGGTGCTCTGCCCGCGGCAGGCAGGGTCCCTGGTGGGGACATCCCCCGCTCCCCTGCCTGAAGGGACACCCCAAAACCTGCCTCTCATTCTCTGTCGTCACAGGCTGGAATTGCTGCTACAAATCGCTAACAAAATCCAGAATGGTGCTCTGAGCTGTGAAGAAAAACTCACTCTTGCAAAGAACACGCTGCAGGCTGTGAGTGGGGGGGTGTGATTTATTTTTTTTCCCCTTGTAATTTTTGAAGTTATGTTTTTGTTTTCCTGCCTCTTCTTTTATGCCCATTTCTTCCCCTCTCTTCTGCCTGGGGTGGTGGGTTCTCCCGGACAGGTTTTCCTTCTCTCCTGACATCGAGCCTATCCCAGAGGGGCCGTAGGGGTGGTGGTGGGTACCAGGTGATCCGTGGCACGAGGACCGTGGGGACAGCAGGGCACGGGAGCGTGCAGCAGGCTGCCCCTGGGGAGGCAGCGAGTGGGGTTGGATTTCTGAAGAGATGCTGGTTTGGAGGAGAGCTGCAGTTCTGAGAAAGCTTGTTGTATAATGAGGCTTAAAACCCCCAAAATCTTTTATTTGTCTAAAAGACTGGTAGAAAGGACTCAGTTGCAGACTGTAGCTATCTGGGTAGGGAGTGGATTTATGAAGAGAGGTATTTTGTTCTGGGAGAAAGAGATGTAAGGGTTGGGAGCTAAAAATGGTTAAACCCAAGCGAAAAATGAGATGCACATTCAAGTGTCTGTCCACGGGACTAACCACAGGCATCACTAAAAGCTTTCAGTTCATCTGCGGGAGCTTTTCAAAGGGGGATGTCCTGGGTGTGGGGTGAGTGATGAACTCATGTGCTTCTGTTCAAGTCAAGGCTTGTGGATCTAAAGGTTTTTTTGGTCTTAAAGTTGGTGCTGGGCTGGTGTCGTGCTCTCTGTGCCCATGTGCCTGGGCTGAGGGGACCCAGCCCTCAGTCTCCTCTCTCTCGGCGCAGGACGCTGCTCACCTGGAGTCAGGCCAGCCCGTGCAGTACGAATCCGACGTGGTCGTGTATCTGCAGGAGTGTGAAGGGCTCATCCGCCAGCTCCAGGTGGACGTGCAGATCCTCCGGGATGAGAATTACTACCAGCTGGAGGAGTTGGTGTTCAGGTGAGAGGGACCATGTCCGAGATGGTCTGTGGGTGGAGAAATGCGATCAGGGGCTGATGGACGGGGCTCCTCTGCTCCGCTGTGGGGAAGGAGGGAGTGGGTGTGTGTCTCCTCACCCGTCCCTTCACTTGCTCCTCTAGGATCATGCGGCTGCAAGATGAGCTGGTGACGCTGAGGCTAGAATGCACTAACCTGTACAGAAAAGGCCACTTCTCTACCCTGGAGTTGGTGCCCACTTCCACGCTGAGCACGACGCACTTGAAGGGCGAGTCCCTGACCAAGGGGCTGCACACCTCCTCCACCTCCTGGTTCCGGAAACCCATGACCAGGACAGAGCTGGTGGCCATCTCCTCTTCTGAAGATGAAGGCAGCCTCCGGTTTGTGTACGAGCTGCTGGCCTGGGTGGAGGAAATGCAGGTGAGCGCTGGCTCTCTGGCTCTGCCTCTGCTCACACTGATGCGGGAAGGCAGGAGGCTGGTCTGGGCTTTTTCCTGCCTTTATCTGTGAATAATTGCTTTGGTGGTTCAGTGTTTCCGGAGAGCACAGATGCTTTTATCTTGAGTTGGGTTTTCTCTCGTGATCCTGCTGCTCAGTGGGTGTCAGAAGTTCCTTTCAAAGCTGGAAGCAAATCTGTCCTGTTGCGGTCAGTCCTTCGGTTTTATGTGGGTGTGAAGCCTGTGTAGGCTGTCCCAGAAATCATTCAGTGTTGGAGCACTGGCTTAGGGCCTTCTGCCAGGGCTGGCATGGTGTTTGTTCCCTCTTGAGTGACCTAGGAGGTTTCCTTGCCCTCATGTCCTTTTGAGATACGCTCCTGCAGTTGAAGAGTGCTGACTTGTACCTCTTGGCCTGTTTCAGATGAGACTGGAGCGGGCAGAGTGGGGGACCGACCTGCCGAGTGTGGAAACTCAGCTGGAGACCCAGCGGCACATCCATACCAGCGTGGAGGACCTGGGCTCCAGCGTAAAGGAGGCCAGGATGTACGAGGTACGGTGGCCACGGGCTGGGTGACACAGTGTGCGGCACAACGTGTGCGGGAAGGGATCAGCGCTTGGGGGTAAAGGTGCCTGGGGCAGAGGTGTTTTTTAATCACAGAGCTTCTGAATTGCTGGCCTGGTGCAAGAGGCTGCTGCCCTGAGGCATCCTCTCCACCTCCTCTTGCTCACACGAAAGATTTGGAGATGGGGGTTTCCAGTGATGCCACCCTGTGGCAGGTAACAGGAGCGTTTTTTCATCCTTCAGGGTAAAATGTCTCAGAATTTCCGTGCTAGCTACACGGAGACGCTCGGCAAGCTGGAGACACAGTACTGCAAGCTGATGGTGAGTGGGCTTCTGGCACTGCCCGGGGGGCCACCCTGCTCCTGAGCATCCTGCTCCTGAGCATCCCTGCTCTGCTGCTGGGGAGGTGGGAAGAAAGTGGTCACCTTCAGAGCAGGGAAGAGGAATCACGCTGTGTTTTGTCTTCAGGAAACCTCGAGCTTCCGCCTGAGACACCTCCAGAGCTTGCACGGGTTTGTGTCTCGGGCCACTGTGGAGCTGATTTGGCTAAATGAGAAGGAGGAGGAGGAACTGGCCTATGACTGGAGTGACAACAACCCTAACATTGCAGCCAAGAAAAACTACTTCTCGGTGAGTGACCCCGGGGCAGGGCTGGTGGGGTGGATGCTCTCTTGCTTGTGCTGCTGCTGCTGCTTTTGATCCACTGTGGGACCCTCAGCTACCAACAGACCTGAAGTCCCCAGAGGTTGGCTGCTCCCTCCCTCCTTGTAGTGAGTGCCGCTGATGAAAGAGCTCTCCCTAGAGCAGAAAGTGCAAAACCGTGTTTGTTCAACAGAGTTTCAATCGAAAAGGCATCAAAAGATGTCTTTATAATGCTATTTGGAATGAAAGGCATCTTTAACGAGTGGGGGGGAAAAAAAAAAAGTCTGAGATAAAGAGGAAAATTGATTCCCCTTTAAAGCAGTATAAATAAATTGCTCTTTCCTTAATCGTGCTGTCTGGAATTGAAGAGGTGCCCAGGCAGGTTTTCAGTATCTCTGTTCTATCTGCCCCGTGTGTTTGGTGCCCTGGAGGCGTCCTGATGGCACTCAGCTCTGGTGCTCCCCTAAGCTGTGCTGGTCTCCCTCAGACCCACTGGGTTTTACTGCAGCGCTTCCGTGCTGGACGCGTTGGACACGTGCTCCAGGGAGGCTCCTCCCCACAGCCGAGGTTTGGACTTTGATTGTGTCCTTCGTGCAGGAGCTGACAACGGAGCTGGAGGAGAAGCAGGATGTCTTCCGTTCCCTCCAAGACACAGCCGAGCTGCTCTCCCTGGAAAATCACCCGGCCAAGCAAACCGTAGAGGTGAGTGGGTACATGGAGGAGCTGGGACGAGCCCCGAGGATCAGCTGGCAGCAAATCTTCTCACCTGGGATTGGGAAACTTGCACTTCCATCCCACGGTGACAGCCAGGACCGATAAAATGTTTTATGGTGTTTTATCAGTGCAGTGATAGAGCTGTTTTATTCTGGGGAGTGCAATGAGAACCTTGAGGTCATTCCCAAATAATCCCCATCCCAAGTTAAGACACAGATACACTTGTACAGAGCACGAGGCTCTCCTACAGCGAGGTGAAGCAGGGAATGGCCTCGGCTCCCTTGGAGCTTGCAGGAAAACCCTGGTGGTGATGAAGCAAAGGGCTGTGGGGACATGTTTCTCCCTGGTGTTTCTCTCTGGGGTGGGAGAAAGCAAACATGGTATTGCTGGTCCAGGGTCTGCCATCTCCTGCTCTTTGTGCCTGTGTCCAAACCCTCCTGGTTGCAGCCAGATCTTACCCATTTATAAATGTCCCTCCAGCCATAGCTGTGTCCTTCCTGGGACCCTCCTTGGCTGGGAAATCCTCGTTATTCATCGCCGTTTGGTGCGTGTGTTTCTCAGGCCTACAGCGCTGCTGTGCAGAGTCAGTGGCAGTGGATTAAGCAGCTCTGCCTGTGCGTGGAACAGCACGTGAAGGAGAACGCCGCCTATTTCCAGGTACTTGGGAGGGGCAGCCCAGATTTCTCTGGTCACCATCCACTGCGTGAGCTTCCGACGCTGCTGCTGCCTTTGGGGGAGAGGGAAGGAGGGATTTGTGGTGCTCATGGGGGCTGCTTTCTCCAGAATGAACTCCTTCTCCTTAGCTGCTCTCTGGGGATGTCTCACATGGGCAAAAGGGATCAACTTCCACATAGTTCTGGCCATCCATGCTCGCTGCCTTTGCAGCCCTAAGGCCAGAACAGCAGCGGGAGCTGCTGGGTGAGATGTTGGGGTGGTCCCTCGCCACGCTGCCGGCTGCTGGGTGGACTCGTGCAGGTTTCTGTGACCCTCTTTGCCTTTGCAGTTCTTCAGCGACGCCCGGGAGTCCGAGACCTACCTGCGCAACCTGCAGGACTCCATCAAAAGGAAGTATTCTTGTGACCATAACACGAGCCTGACGCGGCTGGAGGACCTGCTGCAGGACTCCATGGTGGGTTTTCTGACATCCCCACCACCCTGAGCATGCGATGGGTGGCCTTGCTCCAGTCCAGCAGCGCTGCTTGGGGCACCTCTTGCTTCTCAGGGAAAACTGGGCTCGTTTTATTCCCGCAGCGACGTGTAATGTGTTTTTTTTCCCCATCTTGGTCAATGCTCTGCTCTTCCTTGAAGCTGCTGCATGTGTTTGTAGGCAGCTGTGGGATGCAGGCTGGGGGTGACCCCAGCTGCGTGGGGGGAACGCTGCTGGGGGTAGCTGGATCTTGGTTGTTGCAACAGCCGATGGGTTGCTTTTGTTTAGAGGCACCATCCAGCATCTTTCTGGTGTCCTCTGGGTGAAGAGCAGGCAGCGTGTGCTGTCTGTGCAAACTCACGGCTTGACATGTGAGCTGGTTCTTCCCCATCGGTGCCCGTTGCACCATCCGGGTCTGCACGGAGCCGGTTGGGTTCTGCTGACAGGGATGTCACTCAGAGCCTGTAGGATGCTCCAGTTTCTGCTTTTGAGCTGTTGGGATGCAGAGAAACACCCCTGCTTTATCCAGACCAAATCCTGTGCTAATCCATCGTGCTGTGCCGGTGGGGGGAGAGCCAGGGCAGCCCGGCTGTGTGTGGGGACGGGGGCTCGGCACTGCTGATCTCCGGACACGTGGCCGGGCTTAGCTGTGGCGTAGCAGAAAGCAGACAACGGGCAGTTACGCTGTGACCTTCTTGTCTGAATTGGCCTGAAAAAAAAAAAAAAAAAAAAAAAAATCAAAAACCAAAACCCAAGGAGCAAAGCATCAGATGGTGTTTGAAACCAGGGACGGGGGAGGATTTGGGCTGTGGGTTAACCGCTGAGCCGCGGGTGGAAGTGCCAGGAGGTGACATTTGAGTGTGTGGAGGCAGGTGGCTGCTTCGGCTTTTCTCTTAGTGCGCAGCGCCGATCTCCGGCGTGTCCCCAGTGAGGCTGGGATGCCATGACGTGATGGGCTAGGGCTCTTGCTGTCTTCTCTCCTGGAGGCCTGGGGGCTCTCGAGGTTGTCCTGGGCTGTTCTCCAGCTCTACCAGGCCACGGAGCAGCCAGCCTGGCTCCTGGGGTCCGTGTTTGCGAGCTCTGCAGCACCAGGGGTCTGGCAGGCACCGTCCGGGTGGGAGAGGCTCGTCCGGGCAGCTGGAGAGTGGCCACGATCTCAGGACTGGGGCAGCTGCCCTGAGCTCAGCTATATTACTCTTTCTTACCTAATAAGTTAAAGTTGTATTTCTTCCAATCATGCTCCCTGGGACAGGCACAGGTAGTTTATTTAATCATTTATTCTTTTATTTTTCTTTTTTTTTACCATTAAATTATCCTTCACTGTTATTAGCACACTAACCAACCCCCAGAGTACCAAGCATGAGGGAGAACATTTTTCTGGGATCCTTTATAAACTTTTGCAGCCAGAACGGGTTGAGCTGCCACTAATCACACGAGCTGCCAGTGTCGTGATCCGCACACGTCTCCATCAGTGCCGGAGGCTGTTCCAGGGAAGTTTTGCCACCAGTCCCCTGGGTTGTCCCATCACTGAACCCAGCAGGGACTTGTGGGAATCAATTATGCAGCATCTTCTTCCAACTGGCAAATTTCTGCCCAAACCCAGAGACCTGTGCGATCACTCCACCACTAGCCCCTTCTCCTGAGATGTTTTATCTGCATAATTCATCGTATCCTCATTCCAGTCATTGGTTTAAACATGCCTTCATCCTTTGCTTTAGAAAAGGGAGCATGCTTCTGTGGTCTCGCCTCCAGACAACTAAACGTCCCTGGCTTTGGGGTAGAGCTTGTCCTGCTCTTGGCCCCTTAAACTTCCTGGGACTTTAAGTTTGGTGTATGCTGTGTTCTCTTTTTTCCCCCCCATTCAAAAGAAAATGTTTTCTTGTCCTAACAGCAAAAGAGCCAGAGCTGTGCATGTGGCTTTGCAGGGCAGTGGGAGTTAGTGAAGAGGTCCCCCCCCGACTTCAAGTCTGTTCTCCCTTCCATCCCATCTCCTGACCCTTCTTCCCATCCCGTTAGGGCAGCAGGATCCTCCTGATGTGTTTGTTCAGCCCTTGAGATCCCAGCGTAGGTCTTGCAGGGCAGTGTTGGGGTGGGGGGTGCCGAGATGCCTGGGAGACACCTCCTCAACCCTGCCTCGAGCAACCCCTCCTTCACCCTTCTTCCTGCCAGGACGAGAAGGAGCAGCTCATTCAGTCGAAGAGCTCCGTCGCCAGCCTGGTGGGACGGTCCAAAACCATCGTTCAGCTCCGGCCCAGGAACCCCGAGCACCTTGTGAAGAGCACGATCCCCATTAAGGCTGTTTGCGACTATCGGCAGATCGAGGTGAGGGCTGCAAGGGCGTTGGTGTAACTTCAAAAGGGGAGGCAGGGGAGCAACGCCCGCGGTGGTTCAGGATGAACTTCACGGTGTCTGTCAGGGGGAAAGCAGGAACGGAGTGGGAAGACAGAAGGAGGGAAATAGCACGGCTGTTTTTCCTGGAGCAGATTTCCATGTCTCAGATTTATTCTGGGCAGGAGCTAAAGTCCTGTTCCCCAAGGAGGACGGGCTTCACCAGCCTCAGCCAAATAAGTACGTGGGTGGTAGCCAACTCCGTTTAACTTCCTTGTCCCTTCCTCTCCAGACATGAGTGTGCTGCTCTGCTTGGCACTATACCAGGCTTCTGCTTGATTCAAATATATACATATTTATATATATATATTTATGGAAGCTGGCTCGCCCCCAGGAGGGAAGCCGGCAGCGAGGGCAGCGTGTGCAGCCCTGCTGCTGGTTTCTGATGGGCCGGGTGGTGTTGGTGCCCCTGCAGATCACCATCTGCAGGAACGACGAGTGTGTCCTGGAGGACAATTCCCAGAGGACCAAGTGGAAGGTGATCAGCCCCACGGGGAATGAGGCCATGGTGCCTTCTGTCTGCTTCCTGATCCCCCCGCCCAACAAAGAAGCCATCGAGATGGCCAACAGGTAATTTGCTGGTTTCTGCTGCAGGGGGGGTCCCAGAGGTGCAGTGGCAAGGATTGGGGTGGGAATGGGAGAGGAGCTGGGGTGGAGGAACAGGAGAGGGTGGCACAGCTGATTGGGGGCAAGGGAAGGAATCCTTCATGGTTATCCTGCTGCAGACTCCATCACAGCAATTGTTACCGTTGTTTGCAAAAGGGAAAACAATGATTTGGGAGAGGGGAACCCTCCAGGGCTCTCTGGCACTCAACAGCAGGAGCACTGCTGGCTGTGGGCCACCGGGCTGGGATCGCCGGCCTGACGGGCTGCTGGCTACCAGCAACGGCTCGTGGGCTAACGGGGTCAGGGCTGAGCGTGCCGGGGAGACCCAGGGCTGACGGATCCGCTCCTTCCCCTTGCAGGGTAGAACAGTTGTACCAGAAAGTGATGGCTCTCTGGCACCAGCTCCACATGAACACAAAGAGCCTCATCTCCTGGAACTATCTGCGGAAGGACATAGCCCTGGTGCAAAGCTTCAGCATGGAAAAGGTACAGTAGGAACTTTCCTGCCTGGCTCTGGGGTTGTGTTGGTCACTGTCCGGGCTCCTTCGTGTGGCTGAGGAGGAAGAGCAGAGACTGCAGGGTTGGGGGAGTCAAGAGTCTTTGCACCGTGAACAGTGGGAAAACCTGAGCTTGGGGGTTCTGTGCAAAATGATTGCACAGAAAGAGAATCAGCAGTTTGCTGCTGAACTGTGATAAGTGATTGTGGCCTTAGTGTTTCATTAAGGAGGGAACGAGGCTGGAGGGAGGCGTGAGGCTGACACGGAGGAGCTTGCCTTTTCTCCTCTAAAGAGAAAATCCCCACTTGGCACAGGAAGGTCGTTAAGCTGAGGAGGGTGCCTTCAGTGGTGTGTAGGAAGTCGTTCCCCGTGGTTAGATGTGCTGCGTTTCCACTTGCAGCTCAGATCCTTAGCACAAGGGGAGTGCCAGCAAGCCATGAAGAGCCTCCAGGCACACTACGAGGACTTCCTGCAGGACAGCCGGGACTCGGAGCTCTTCTCCGTGTCGGACCGGCTGCGCCTGGAGGAGGAAGTGGAGTCTTCCAAGGAACACATCCGGCACCTGCTGGAGTCCATGGAGAACGGTGAGCTTCAAAGGCCTGATGGATTAACCAGGAGCTGTGGGGACTCATAAACAAAGGATTTATGGGATGGCTTCATTTTTTTTTTTTTTTTTTTTTTTTTTTTTCCTTAATTCTCCATCCATTCAAGCGTTCAGCCTTTGTGCAACGATGTTCCTGCAGAGAGGGCTTGGCTCTGCAGCTTCAGCTGAACTGCTGAGTCCTCTTGCCCTAATATTGTTGGAGATGGGTTTAGTCATTAGGATGCTTTCTGAGCAAGGAGTTCTTCCTGCATATAATCTGTAAGAAAATATATGTGGTGGTGATGCGTGTGACCCAGCAGCACTGTGAGTCTCACTGGGACCGAGGGCTGCAGCTTCGTCATGTGCCGTGCCCTGTGATTGGACTCATTCTCAGCTGTGTTTGAGTGAGATGGTTTTATTTTAACTTATTTTCTGTCTGAACAGAGACCCTGGTGTCTTGATGTCAGCACGATGCCGCACTCGGCTCTGGGGCTGCCAGCAGGTCCCGTTTGGGTCAGGGTTGTTTGAGCTGCTGTTTTGGTTTGTCTGTGACTTGCAGAAGACAAGGATGAGACGGTTGCCAGGACGTATCTCTCCGAGCTCAAGAACATCCGTCTGCGCCTGGAGGAGTGTGAGCAGAGGCTAGTGGGCCGAATCCAGTCCCCGAGCAGTGCCCGAGCAGATGGCGACACTATCCAGGAAAACACCATCCGCATTGCAGAGCAGGAGGTCAGTCCTGCTGCCGTGAGATGTGGAGGGGAGGGAGGTGGCGGCTGCTGGTCTTTAGCATGTGCCAAAAATACCTTTAGCATCTCTGGGGTGAATGTGTGGGTGGTGGGTGCGTGACTGTGCGGAGTTTGAGGGGATCTTGTGCACAGAAAGTAGGAAGAAACCTCTCCAGTGGGCTCCCTGCTTCTTTTCATAGCATCTCTGCTTTTTCTCTGCCTGCTCCTGCCTGGGCTCTCACGTTCTTTCCCTCCTTCCCATAGCACATGCAGGAGGATCTGCAGCGGCTGCAGTCGGACCTGCGGTTTGTTTCTGAGAGATGCTACAGCTTCCTCGACAAGGCGCCCGCGGGGCCCAGCACGCCCCACTTGCGTTCTGAACTTGACTTGGTGGTGAACAAGATGGACCAGATGCATGGGTTGTCTTCCATCTACTTGGACAAGTGAGTCGGGACGTGCCTCTGTTGCCAAATACCTTTCTGAATCTGCTCAGTTCTGCTAAAGACCTTTCTTCTGGCCCTCAAACACACCCTGCGCTGGGCTGCAACAGCTCCACCCCTCTGTGGTGTACGGTACGAGCAGCCTTGCGACCAGAAGGATCCCTGCCAAATCTTGGATGTCATTGTGCTGCCTCTGTTTGATCTGCCAGGTTGAAGACGGTTGATGTTATTATTCGGAACACCCAAGGAGCAGAATCTCTGGTCAAAGGGTACGAGGTGAAGCTGAGCCAAGAGGAGGCAGTGCCTGCTGACCTGGCAGCTATCCAGTCTCACAGAGCGGCCTTACAGGTTGGTGCTGTTCACTTCCCAGGGTGGGCCGGCAGAAACCAGAGCTTTGGCATTTGTCAAGCAGGCTCCTTCTCTATTTCTGCGGAATTTGCACCGAGTGCCATTTTCCTTGCCTTGATGTAGCTGCTGGGAGGATTTTTTGCTGTTTATGTGATGCCTTATTGCTTTGTAAAGGAAGAGGAGCTGCTGTGGCTTGTGCTTTTGATGGTAGGGCGTGTGCTGGCACATGGGAGCATTTTGGCAGCTACATGTCCTGTCGCTGCAAGGACAGGGGCTGAATCAATCTGACTCGCTCCAGGCTGATAAGGTGGTCTCCTCCATTTTACACCTCCTATAATCGGCCGGTTCTTTGCAGGTTAAGGGAAGTGGGAAGATAAACCCCTTCTCAGGCTTGTCAGCTGCGGGCAAGAGGGCATCTCTGACTTAACGTGCCTTTTGCTTTCCGTGGCGTTGAACCGGTGCCGTCTCTTGCTGGTTTTGCAGCAGTGGCTCGGGGAAGTGAAGGACAAGAGCTCTGTCTTCTCCACGCTGGAGGAGGAGATGGCCAAGGCGAAGGCAGTGGGAGAGCAGCTGTACAGGCTGAGGCAAGAGCGCAGCATCGACCTCGAGCGCTATCAGGAGAAGGGAAGCCAGCTGTGGGATCGCTGGCAGCGAGTCTGCGCCCAGATCGAGACCCGGTGAGAAACCTTCTGCCTCTTCACAGATTTACCTCCATGCTTCAGCTGAGAGCTTGGGCAGGGAGGTTTTTTCAGCTGGGATTCCTGCTGGTGACTGGGACGTCCCTGTAGCCTGCGGTGGCATTTCGCCCTCTTCTTACTTGTCTTGGTTCTTCTCTCAGCCATGCGGAGCTGGAGAGCATCCAGGAGGTGCTGGGTGATTACAGGCAGTGCCACGGTGCCCTGATCCAGTGGATCGAGGAGATCACGGTGCAGCAGGAGCTGATGAAGCCCGGGCAGGCAGAGGACAGCCGGGTGCTGTCGGAGCAGCTGAGCCAGCAGACGGTAAGGCAGAACCTGGTGAGGTCTCGATAGCACAGTGGCTGCAGTGACTGTGTTGCCTCTTTTACTAAAAATTTTTTCATGTGCGAGTTTGAAATTATGAAACACGGTGGGAGGAGGCTGCAGGCCTGAGCTGGGTGTCTGAGAAGTGAAAAAACTCTGCTTAGCTTGAGGTGGAGATGAGGCCTTGCAGAAAAAATTGAAGAGGATAAAGGGGAGGGGTAGGGGCTGAAATTCAGCTCGCCGCCCGCAGCAGCTGTCCTGACAGCATTTTTGCTTTGCTTTTTGTTGAAGGCTTTAGCTGCAGAAATCGAGAAAAATCAAGCCAAACTGGACCAATGTCAGAAATTCTCCCAGCAATACTCAGCTGCTGTCAAGGTACGGGTCCCCTCCTGCACCTAGATATGGCTGGCTGGGCAGAGCCAGCCCCGGCACAGTTTGCATCCTGCATGCTCCATGTTTTTCCACCCCTGGTTGCGTTTGCAGGACTACGAGTTGCAGCTCATGACGTACAGGGCGTTTGTGGAGTCGCAGCAGAAGTCTCCCATGAAGCGCCGGCGCATGCTCTCGTCCTCGGATGCCATCACACAGGAGGTAGGATTCCCTCCCCCCCGACCCTGTGCTTTGGTTCCTCGATGCCGAGTGGCCTCTGGGAAATGAAATCCTTTCTGCTGAACTCTCTTGTATAAATAAAATTTCCATCCTCACCGTTTTTTCCAATAGCCAGAGGGGATGGCTTAGTGCTCTAAGCACCGGGTATGAAATATCTTGACTCCTGGGAACCCCCTGGGTCAAATCCAGCGGGGTTGGCTCAGCCCCTCAGCCCTGCGTGGTGAATAACCAGAGGGCCAGGCAGCGTTACTCTGTGTGGGTCTTGGGGAGGAGAACTTTTGGGACACAAGGAACGTCCTGTTTGCTCCGTGTGGATACTAAAGATCCTGGGAGCCCTCTTGTAAGAGTTGAGCACCCAGCCCAGCATCCGTGAGCGGAGCCTCCCCTTCTCTCCAGTGCTGTGCACCATGCCGTGTGTGGCCACGACCCTCCCCGTCAGACTGTTTCACTGATGCCAGATGGGGTCTGCGAGGTGCCTGGGGGCGCTTCCCAAGCGAGAGATGGTGCATCCGTGTCATCTGCTGTAAAGTCCCTCGCGCCGGATCTACGGGGCGTGACTGATGTGGCCGTTTCTCCCTGTCTCCCTTCGCAGTTCATGGATTTGCGGACTCGTTATACAGCTCTGGTGACATTAACCACACAGCACGTCAAGTACATCAGCGATGCTCTCCGGCGGCTGGAGGAGGAGGAGGTGAGGGGGTTGGATGGAGCGGAACTCTGTTCAGAACGTGCAGGCTCATTTCCCAGCATGGCCTGGGATGCTGCTCCATGTCGAGGTTACATCTCGAGTGCTGCTCCTGAGAGCCTCTCCCCCTCTTTGGAAATCCGAGAGCCCTTTGACGTGGTTATCTTCTTTTCTCCTTTGTTTGTAGAAAGTAGTGGAGGAGGAGAAGCAGGAGCATGTGGACAAGGTGAAGGAGCTCCTGGGCTGGGCCCTGGGCTTGAAGCAGAGTGTGCAAGGCAGGACGGCTGCTGCTGGGAGCAGAGAGCTGGGTGACATCGAGAAATCCATCTCAGAGCAGCAGGTAAGCCAGGGACAACTGTCAGACAGTTTGTTACTTCTGCTCTTTTTCCATAGCTGAATTAAGCCTCTTTCTTTTTTATCAACAGGCCCTGAATGAGGAGCTGGCTGCAAAGAAGGAGCAGGTCTCTGAGGCCATCAAAACTTCACAAATCTTCCTGGCAAAACACAGCCACAAGTGAGTGTGGCCCAAGGAGGGGATGGTCAGTGGGGGGGAGATGAGATACCTCAGAGCTGGTATTCCTGGGTTCCAGTGCCCTACTCCCATTAAAACTAGCGATGAGCTGCACATGGCAGTTGTCATCTTTCTTATCTGCAGCAAGAGCTATGAAATATGCAACCCATTTATGCTGTTGGGGCAGTATTAATCCCCATTATCAGCGATCCAGCCCTGTATATTTGGGGATGTAATCGTTACAATGCAGGCTGGCCTTTGCTGAGCACAATTACCCTTGCTGGTTTTAGCTGAGTGGGAGGAGAGGACTCATGGTGGGTTTGGCTTTTTCCTTCGCCAGCCAAACACGTTAATTCTGCAGAGCTGGGAGCTGGTCTGTGCAGTTTCCCTGAGAAATTTCCCCTTCCCTTTGCAGACTTTCCCACCCGGAGAAGGAACAGATTTCTGCTCAGATCGGTGCCCTCAAGGAGACCTACCAGGCACTCTGCAGCGACTCCATGGAGCAGCTCCAGCAGCTCCAGAGCCAGCTGGCCCAGGAGACAGAGCACAAGGTACTGGTCCCCGCTCGGTCCCACAGCTGTGGGGACACGGGGCACTCCTCAGAGTGTGGAAAAGGTTTTGCCTGGTTGTGTGTCTCATGGCTACCAGCCACTTGCAGCCCGTCGACTTTTTTACTTGCACGTGGTTGCCCTCCCTTCTCTTCTGTCCATGCGTGACCCGAAACATCCAAGCTGGGGTGATCCCTGGAGGTCAAGCAGGAGCCGTGTCCCTGCTGCCTCCCCGGCCAGTGGGAGAATTGCTCTTTGCAGGGGTTTTCATCAGAGCTCCGCCCTGTGCACAAGGGTTGGCTCGCTCACACTTGGTGGGCAAGGATGTAGGTGCACCTCTGTCCTGGAAACGGTCCCCTTAGCAAATCTGTGTCCTCCGAGCCGTGCCCTCGCAGTGCCTTAACCACAGACAGCTCCATCTCACAGCTGCCTGCGCTCAGGAGGCGCGAGGAGGTGGGTGTCTGCAGAAGGGCGTTTGCCCGTGCGCTCTCAGATCTCAGGCTCTGGGCGCGAGGTTGGTCTCAGCTGTGTCTGGATGAAGTTGCTCTCCCCACTGGAAGGCGACTGCATCGTCCAGGCCCTCGACTGACCTGGGGGACCGTCACCACCCGTAGCTGGACCCATTCACATCCCCCAGCGCTCCCGTCAGCCCTGTCCTCGTTTCGCTGGGTAGGGAGGGCTGAAAGCGCGTCCTTATTGCCTCTTACCAGCTGTCCTCGGTCAGTCACAGATATACGTGTACGTGTTCTATGAGTGTATATACATGTGTCGATGGATATATTTGTGTGTTTGCTTGCTGGCTCCCTGTACTCTGAAGCAACGGCCCGCTCGGATCTGGATGTGTGATGCAGGATTTGGCTGTCGGGTCTGTGAGTGAAGCCCTGTTCGAGCCGCTCATGGGAAGAGGGCGACGGGGCTGCTTGTTTGAAATCTGCCTGTCCAGCTTCCACCTAAACATAGTGTTTCTCTCCAGATTGGACTTTATAGCACACTTCAGGTGTCTAAGTGCAGTAAACACTTTCGATTGCAAGCCCTTTAGCCCTTGTGCTGGCAGCAGAAAGTGATTAAACCGACTCGTTAGTCAGCACTAAGCCATCACAGCTTTGATGCTCCTGCTGCTGCTGCCAGGAGAGCAGCTGAGAGCAGCCTGCCTGGGGAAAGGATGTTTTCTCCTTTCCCTATTCCTCCCTCCTGGGCAGGAAAATGACTTTATTAGCAAAAGCTTTCTCCAGGGCTTGCTGGGCTGTTTTTTTTTTTTACAGCATGAGCACGCTTTGGGGCTCAGGCTAGAACAGTTTTCACTCACTCTCTCGACGAAGCCCAGGAAACAAAACGAGAGATGGCAGTGGGGCTTCACCGTAGATCCCCGTCTACGAGATGATCCCCGCAGCTCTTGTGCGGTGCAGTTGCTTCACTGTAGAGGGAGCATGAGGAACTCTTTTTAACATTTGCTTGCTGGAAACATCCAACTATCAGAGAGAAGTTATAAAAGACAAAAATGCAAAGCAGAACGCGCTAAATTGAGCATGATGTGTCCCTGTACAGTTTGTGTTTCATGTCAACTGTTTTTAAGATTAACTGACATCCTTGCTTACAAGTTTAACTAACCCTCCGGGATTTAAAACAAACAAAACACACAAAGTGAAAGAGGACGACCTGTGTGTGGGGTTCTTTTTGCAAACAAAACAGTCGCATGCTGGACGCTAACACCAAGCTTTACACTGTGTGTGATACGGCTGAACTGCTCCATAAGGCTCTGTCTTTAACTGCTCAAGGCACACCCTGCAACTCGGGTAAGTAAAAGCCTTTTACCCCCCCTCCCTCCCATCTCCTTTTTTATCTTTCTCCTTTTTTCCCCCTCCCCTTCTCTGTCTTTCCATGGCTTGTTCATCTCCGAATGTGCATGTCAGAGTCTGGTGACGGTGGTGGCGAGCTTAGGCTTTCCCAGCAGGTTCACCCTGCCTGCAGGCAGAAGGCAGTGAGGGGATCTGAAACCAGAGTGGTGCAGGCTGCATCCTCTGCTGAGCCATAACCGAGCTGTGGGCAGCTACAAACCCTCCCAGCTGCCTCTGCTGTTAGAGTCACCGATAAAAAAAAATCTGGGAGTCTTGGTGGTGCAAAAGGAAATGATTCCATGCTCCAAATTCCCTCCTCCCTGTCTCCACAAAAATCTTTCAGTGCTTGCACCAACCTTGTACCAAATGGGACAGGGAGAAGAATCCCAAACATCCAAATAGTTGTTAGTCTTTATCATCCTAATTATCACTCTCCCTGTGGGGATACCAGCGAGAAAAGTCCCTCCAGAAGCACCAAAGTAAATGGTCTGTTCCCAGTCTCTCACTGGTTCCATGCTGGGACCTCCAACTTCTTCGGTGCCTCCCCTTGCCCTGAGCGTGGCTCCTCCGAGGGGCCGGAGCCGGGCAGAGCAGGTGCTGGGGGTTGTGCTCAGGGAGCTGCCCTGCATGCAGCACTCCTGCCCTGGTGCACGGCCGCTCTGTGTGGCTGGGGAGCTGCTCCGTGGCACGGCAGGTCTGTGGTGGTCCCTGGCTGTCCTGGCACTGGAGATCTGCTTGGGGAATTGTGGGATTTAAAGCATGGCGGGAGTCAGTGTGGAAGCTGCGCTGGGAGAGTCCTAGATACCCTGAAGTGGACTTTATTTTTTTTTTTTCTCTTCTATGAGTACACAGTAGGGTTTGTGTTATCTTTATAAAATTGGAGTTGTTGAATGGCTTTGGTGTGCTTGTTGGTCTCCTTCCCTCTGTTTCTCCATGGAGCATTAGGAGCACTTCTGGGTTTTGCTGCTTGCTGCTTTGCTGCGTTACTGTTGGTGGATGTTGGAAGCATCTCAGCGCTGCTGGTGGTGGACTTGAGGAGCATTAAAACTTGCTGGCAATGTGCAAGCTAGCAAATGCACCAGTTTGCGTGCTATGATGCCTTTGGAGTTGCATTTCAAACACTTTGGGACTCCTTTCTAGCCTGTTTAGGGGGTTTTAACTTTTTTTTTTTTTGAAACTGAGACCTCCCTGGAACTCATTTAATCTGAGTGCTGGAAATGCTCTATTTTGATTTAATTCTTTCTCTTCTCTTTCTGTTCTAGGGGAGCGAAGCAGTGGCAGGAGTGATCGATCTTGGCACGGTAGAAATATTCCCTGTCTTTGGTGCCATGCAGAGAGGTCTTATAGATCAGGACACTGGCCTCGTCCTCTTGGAGGCCCAGGTTATCACATCTGACTTAGTTGTTCCAGAGACCAATGAGAAACTCTCCTTGGAGAAAGGCCTGGCAAGAAACATCATCGATCTCAGGACGTTCCGGGTGCTGCGGGAGTTGAAGGATGCTCTCCACCGGGTGGAAGAAGTCAGCTGTGAAGGGAGGCAGCTCCTACCTGTCGTTGCTGCGATAGAAGAGGGGAGGATTAGTGAGAGCATTGGGCTAAAGATTCTTGAAGCTGAGCTTGTCACTGGGGGCTTTAAAGTCCATCAGGGCAGAATCAGCATGGAGACAGCGGTGCAAGAAAAGCTTCTTACCCCCCAGCTTTATTCCAGACTTCTGTCTCACCTGGAGAGCAGCAAGGATTTGATTGACCCCAACACTGCTGAGAAAATCAGTCTGCCCGAGCTCATGCACCGATGCATCATCCACCAAGAGACTGGACTGAGGCTGCTCCCCATCAAGCAGCTGGCGGGTGGGATGGTGAGCTTGAAATCAGGCAGAAAAGTCAGCATCTTCCGTGCTGTCCAGGAAGGGCTGATAGACAGGCAGGTGACGGTCAGGTTGCTGGAAGCCCACCTCTTTGCTGGTGGCATTGTTGACCCCAGGACAGGGCACAGGCTGACTGTGGACGAGGCCGTGAGACATAATTTAATTGACCAGGATTTGGCATGCACGCTTCTTATCCGGCAGCTTCAGACAGGTGGCATCATCGATACCGTCACCGGAGAGAGGCTGACAATCGATGAAGCTGTAAGGAAAGAGTTGGTAGCACCGAGGATTGCACTGGTGGTCCTGGAATCCCTGTGGTCCTTCATGGGGCTCCTGTGGCCAGAGACAGGGGAGATCATCCCGGTTGCTGATGCTTTAGAGCAAGGAATCCTGTCCACAGAGTTGGTTTACAAGATTCTCAGCAAGAGGCAGCTCATTAAGGCTGTCTTTATACCAGAAACCACTGAGGTGTTGTCCTGGAAGAAAGCAGTTGAACACGGCATCTTGGAGAGAGATGTGGCGAAGAAGCTGAAGTCAACGGCCATACCTGATGTCATGGCCGGCGTGCAGCTTGCTGGCTCTCCAGGCAGAAGCAGGCATGGCCAGAGCCCTTCTGAAAGGAGTCCCACAGGTCACAAAGAGCCAAGTGAGCCTCTGCTAAGCAGTGAAGATGAAAGGCTGATGTTCCACTTGATGACCCACAGCTACATCAACATCCATGATGGCCAGAAGCTGCTCTTAGTGGATGGCGAGTTGAATAACCTCACTAAAGCCCTCATCCAAACCCAAGAAAATGGGTCCCGTGCACACACGTTGGAAGGCAGTGAAGACTTTGAGGACACAAAGGCAAATGCAACTCTTGAAAGAGAGCCGTGCAATGACTTGGCTTTGCAGCAGCTCGAGTTTCAGTTTGCTCCTTCAAAAGAACAAAGCGAAAAGGTCCTGCTACCTGGAACTGCTTTGGAGAATGGGGAGGTGGTGATGGGACCTGAAAGCCTTCTGTTAGAGGATGGAGAAGATATCCTGCTTGTGGAGGAGCAAAACGAGATTTATACCCAACAGGCCACCATCAAAAGTGAAACTGATGCTGGATTTGGAAGAGAGCAAGTAGCTCCTACAAGCCAGGACAAACATCAGGTAAAATTATCGATGCCAGGACATCCAGGTGACCTTGGTAGTGGATTCAGAGAAACAGAGGATATCATGATTGAGGCAGAAGAAGAGTCCAAGCCTACTCCAGCAGGTGGAGTAGAAAATACTGAAGATCAGAAGAGAGCATCGGAAAGTGGGACAGTTGTTGTGA